CGGAGCGCAGCGTCGGTCCTGATTGCTTGGTGTCGAGAGTGTTGAGAAGAAAGTTGTGACTCGGGGACACTCACCGAGCAGTGCCATGCACTTTGTCCCCACAGCTCTGCGACGGCATTCACAACCCCGCCCTGGTCTTTCTCCAGCCTCTTTGTGGGTGACGCACAGAGGAAACCAGCTCAGCACAGCCTGTGTACTTTCTGTGAAGGGACAGGCCACCCTCCCTCCGTCAGCCCCGAAGCTCTGGCTTGTCTGCCTTTTCTCCAGGTGGCAGGTGGCTTTTCTTTTCTTTTCCTTATTGATGTCAGAGAGGAAGGGAGAGGGAGAGAGACACATCAATGGTGAGAGGGACTCATCGATGGGCGGCCTCCTGCACGCCCCCTCCTGGGGATCAAGCCCGCAACCCAGGCATGCGCCCTTGACTGGAATCGAACCCAGGACCCTTGAGCCCACAGGCTGACGCTGTATCCACTGAGCCACACGGGCCAGGGCGGCTTCTCTTTCCTGAAAGGCCTCGGAGGCCGCCCTGAGGCAGCTCAGCGCGAAGTCCATGCTCAGGGCTGGCTGCTCCTTTTGCTCAGCACCGGACGACCAAATCCCACTGCAAGTCTAATTCCTGGTCCCAATTAGGGTAGAAAACTAGCGTCTATGATGAGAGGCACTAAGATGGCGGCTGGCAATAGGACCTCCAGATTTAGCAAATCAAAATACAAGATACCCAGTTAAATTCAAATTTCGGGAAGAAACAGATAATTTTTTAAAATACATACTTTTTAATGATTTCAGAGAAGAAAGGAGAGGGAGAGGGTGATAGAAACATCAATGACGAGGGAGAATCATTGTTTGACTGCCTCCTTACACATCCCACACTGGGGATCTAGCCCGCAACTCGGGCATGTGCCCTGACTGGGAATCGGGCCATGACCTCCTCGTTCATAGGTCGACACTCAACCACTGAGCCACTGCGGCTGGGCCAGATCATTTTTAAGTGTAGTCCGCTTAAGTGCTCATTTGACAGATACCACAGCTGATGGTGAACTGCGGTATTGGTGGCCAAAGTGGCAGAGCATTTGGGGGTGAGGAGAGAACAGTGCACTGAGTTAAGACCAGTTGAAAAGTGACCAGAAAATGGAGATTCTGCCCTGATTATCCCCCTTGGACCCAGCCGCTGAACACAGTAGCTTCAAGAGGCAGCAATCAGGTAGCAAAGGCCAAGTGGAAATTTGGAAGTCTACGTTGGCCACACCTACATTATGCTCCACACTGGGGCCCCACCTTCTGGCCAGAGGAATTTTCTTTTTAGTATTTGTATTGATTTCAGAGAGGAAGGAAGAGGGGGAGAGAGATAGAAACATCAATGATGAGAGAGAATCATTGATCGGCTGCCTCCTGCACACCCCACACTGGGGATCAAGCCTGCAACCCAGGCATGTGCCCTTGACCGGAATCAAACCTGGGACCCTTCAGTCCACAGGCCGATGCTTTATCCACCAAGCCAAACCGGCTAGGGCTAGGAATTTTTTGTTTTAGTGATACTCAGGATATGGATTTCCTTTGGGTATAATTCATCATTTTTCTTTCATTCATTCAACACGGTTTTATTGAGCATCTACTATGAACTAGTCATTAAAATAGTTGCCATTGATACAATAGTAAACAAACACAGACACAATCCTTGCCCTCCAACAAAAATACTTTTATGTTCCTTTAAATTTTTTTCTTAAATTTCCGTTGTAGCCGAAACCGGTTTGGCTCAGTGGATAGAGCGTCGGCCTGCGGACTGAAGGGTCCCAGGTTCGATTCCGGTCAGGGGCATGTACCTGGGTTGCGGGCATATCCCCAGTGGGAGGTGTGCAGGAGGCAGCTGATCGATGTTTCTCTCTCATCGATGTTTCTGGCTCTCTATCTCTCTCCCTTCCTCTCTGTAAAAAATCAATAAAATATTTTTAAAAAAAATTTCCGTTGTAAAATTGCTCTCAACCAACAAATCAGATTTAAAACAAGCATTGCATGCTATTTGACTGTTGCAAGGGGAGGTATGGTGTCTTGTATCCCATTTCTGAAGTATTGCTTCAGTCATTCTCGTAGGGACAAGAGACCGCTGATCCTGTCAACCGATCTTAAAGCAGGTAAAAAACTGATACCACAGGTCCAGTTTCAGGGCCGGCGGGAGCGCTTAGGAATGCTCCTAAGAGGGATTCTTCGCTACGTGTTTCACAGGAGACAGTCCTGTCCAGCAAGCTCGAATTACCTTTTTAGTTTTAAACTGAACAGTGTGTATTTGCCAAGTGTCAAGGTTCAGACTTGGTGGTTTTGAAGAACAGAGGAAAAAAATTAAATGCCAGAAACACACAAGTTTGTGGAGCAGGAAATGAGGATGGTGGTTTCCAATCTGACTTTAAAATTTGATAAACTATGCAGTGTGCAAAGGAGGCTACATTGTTAAGATATAAATACTTATGAAGCCTAACAAATAGATAACAATATGTAAATAACTACTTCAAAGTAACAAGAAAATGATAATCAACTCAAGTAAAAACGGCTAAGGATAACTGATAGAATTCACAATAAAGACAACTGGCCAATAAACACATAAAATGTTCAACATCACTAGGAATTGGCCAGTTGTAATTAAGACAGCCCAGCACAGTAATTAAGAACACTGATTGATTCTTGAGCCCAAGAATCTGAGTCTGAGTTTGAATTGTGGCTGGAAGGCTTTCTATTTCTATGACTCTAGGAAAATTATTTAATTTCTCATATCTCCATTTTCTCATTTATAAAAGTGGTATAACAATATTTACCTCATAGAATTATTATAAAGATTTAATAGTAAATATTTAAAAATTTTAAAGTGCTTAGAATGATAACAAACACAGAAAGTGTTATAAGTATTGGTTGAGTAAATAAAATTTAAAAAGCCATTTCACCCATCAGAATGGTAAATATTAAAGGAACCGATCTCTTAAATGTTGGCAAGGTTTTGGAGAAACAGGCTCCCACAGACATTTGTAGCTGAAAATCAGTTTAGTAATATTTTATTAAAATTAAAAATGCCTACATGTTCTTTTGGCACAGAAATTCTACCTAGAAAAATACACATACTTGTGTGTAATGAAGCTCAATTCCACTGCAGTACTGTTTGGAAGAGGAAAGAATGGAAGTTAACCTAAATGTGTAGTAATAGATGGTTGTATTAGAGGTTGCAAACTGATAGCCATTGGGCCAAATTCGCTTTGCAGGCGTGTTTTGCTTAGCCTCAGCAGTGTTTCCAAATCTGAATTAGTTTGCCTGGCCGGTGTGGCTCAGTTGTTGAGCATCGACCTGTGAACCAGGAGGTCACAGGTTCTATTCCCCGTCAGGGCACATGCCCAGGTTGTGGGCTCCATCCCCAGGAGGGGACATGCAGGTCATTGATGTTTCTCTCTCTCTCTCCTTCTCCCTTCCTCTCTAAAATCAATACAAATATATTAAAAATATATATTAAACTTTTTTTGAATTAGTTGCCAACATTAAAATATTAGATTAAAAAACCGGTATTTTAAAAAACTTACAGCTCGGGATTCAAGTTAACAATCCTTTGGTCAGTGTAAATAACTATTTCTGCTTAGAACAAAACACACCTGCTCCACTTCATCACTCTACTGATTTGTTACCTGTAGGCATCGGAGTCTGGGATTCTGGCAGGTGAGTTCTGGCTCAGCTAAGTAATGAAATGCATCTAGTGATGTAAATACAATGCAGTAAATATATACCAGTATGTAGTGGTGAGGAATGATCATCAAGACATATTGTTGAGTGGAAAACACGCCAGGTGGAGAACTCTAACTTATAAGATGATGCAATTTCTGTAAACAGCAAATAATAATTAGATCAGGAGTGTTTCTGTTTTACTATGTTCCTAGTGCCTAGAACAGTGCCAGGCATATACTAGGAACTCAGCACATACTTGTTGAACACACATGTATAACTGTGTGAGAACGTTGGAGGATACACACTAAATAAGTGATTCTGTCGAGGGACCGGAATTTGGGAGAGGGGGTGGTCAAGGGGTGATTGCTGTTTTTTGTTTTGTATAGTTTGACTCTTACAAACACATAATGTTTCATTACTTCCATAAATTAAAAAATAAAATGAAGGCAACCCAGCACAATGTAACATAGTGATCAAAACAAGATTTAATTAGTCTCCATTGAAACCATCCAGAAACGAATGAATGGGAATCAAAATAGAGTTCTGCAGTCATGAACAAGAAAAGCTAACTCCGAATACTTAACCTCCAACTCAGAACTAAGCAGCAGGGTGACGGGTGCGCGGGACTAATCAGACCGCCCCGGCTGTGATGAGGCCCCATCCACAGCCAGTCCTCCCGGGGAACACGGTCTGCTGCCCACCCCAACCCCAATTCCGTGGCTATAAGCTCGTGAAGGCCTTGCACACAGCGTGTCAGAAGGTGCCCAGCTTGGTAAGATTTTTAAAAAGAAAGAAAGAAAAAAAAGCGTTTCCTTTTGGAGTCGGCAGCAAAGGCAGACAGGAAACGAGTTTAAGGCCAGTGATGGAGATCAGACATTTCCCCTCAAAGGGAGGCTGGCCTGGCTCCGTTCGACCGGTGCCAGGAATAGACCGGCCTCGGCGGGCGAGAGCCAAAGGGCACCCGGCAGGGGCCGGCTTCTGGGCGCGGAGTGCCAGCAGCTCTTTTCACGGCTCCCCCCGGGTTCAGCTCTCATTAGACGGCGTTTCTTCTCTCCTCCAGGCTCGTCGTCAAGCGCCTGGCACCGCTGCCGGGGCAGAGCGTTCAGAGCGGTTCCGAATCGGCGGGAGCAGAGCTCCCCACGGTGTGGCCGGCACAGCGCCAGGCCGACTGTCCGGCCGAAGACACCGCGTTTGAACCCGATGCGCGGGCTCTGGGGGGCGGGGCTCCGGGGGGCGGGCCCGTTGGGGGCGGGGCCCTGCTCGGCTCTGCGCAGGCGCGGGTGGCTCGGGCCGCTCCGCCAGGCCCAGGGCGGCCTTTTTGTAAGATTTGTAGCAAACGCGCTCGGAAGTTCGACCTCCCAGCCTTTAGACGCCACCGCAGTCCCGAGGCGCCCAGTAGGGCAACAACGGACACTCTCGAAGAGGCGGCACACAAACCGCAGACTCCCCACCGCCGCGGCCGCCCGCACTTCCGCCGGAAGTCGGTCTGCCTGCCAGCGTCGCGCGCTGACGTCACGGGTGCGACGGGATTTTGGGGGCGCGCCCTGGAGGCGCGGGTGCGGTGCAGCTGGCGGTTGGCTGGTCGCCCTGGGAGGTAAGGCGTCCTCCGCTGGGCGCTGAGATGCCCCCGCCTAACCAGGGATGTCCGCCTGTCTGTGTGGCCGCCCTCCCCATCCTTCCCGGGTGTGGGGGGACGCAGCACACTTCCACCCCCCCGGGGCCGGGGACCCACATCGTTCCCTTCTGCACCCGCCCCCCAGGACCCGGGGAAAGCTCCTGCGAGGCCCACCGGCCGCGACCCTAGCATAGAGGGGAGCTTCGGGGAGGCCCTTCTGTCGGGTCCCCAACGTGGGCGCCTCAGGGATGGGTATCCAAGGCTCGCAGAGTACTTCTTCCCGATTAGCTCTGACTCCCGAAGTCTTCTAACCCCCGTTCACCCCGCGGGGCCTCGACTTCCCCGACGTCCACACTCTTTTCCACAGCGCATGCCCCCGTGCCTCCTGTGACGTGAGTGGTCCAGGCGAGTGTGGAACTGACCTGTCCCTGCAGCCAGATCCCGCCTCCTGGAGGAACCATGTCTCCTGCAGCTCCGGGGGTCACCTGTAGTTCCAGGCTCATGCCTCGGCGCCAGAGGAGATGCCGATGGAATTCCCTGTGAATGTTGGCAGGAGGAATGCCAGAGCTGCCTGCCGAAAATCATCCAGACAAATATGTAGGCTGAGGACCCCGAGCCGCCCGGTGAGGATTGCTGCTCTCTGCTCCCGTCCTAGCTCATGCGTAGCTTCCAGTTGGTTGTCTCAATTGGAAGTCTGGCCCAGAATCGTATTAACGAAGGCCCAAAGTCACCACCTCCAGTTACTTAACACAGGCCTGTCCTTCGAGCATCCCTTCCTAGGCAGGCAGCCGGGTCCCAGGGATGCTTGGTCCCATGGCATCAACAGATTCTGCTGGCTACGTTCTGTGTTCCTATCTGTGTGAATGTTTATATTTAAGGAAGAAAAAGAATGGTTTGTTGATGGGGGGAGGAAAGGTGCATGCATTCTGCCTATTCTTCCCCACTTTCCTTTGGAACTTGCAGATAGGAGGTGCCCCAGAGCAGACCGCAGTGGTCTGACTAAGGAATTTTGAAGGAGCGAGAGCACCCAGGCCTCCTGGGTTGTCCGACTGAAGAGGCAGTGTGTGCTTTAAGAGCTGATGGATTTTGTTTTGGGAGCCATGTCGGGAGTTGATGTCTGAGAATATGAGCCATGGAATGAATCCCTCAGTGGATCACACTCTTTCTGTTCCTTTGTAGCCCCAGGATGGACTTCCTGGTTCTCTTCTCGTTCTACTTGGCTTTGTTGCTGATTGGTGGCGCTCTGCTCTGCATCTGCTTGAAAACCCGTTACCTGAAAGGCCTGGTCAGAGGAGGCGCACAGGTAACAGTGACGCTGGGAGACCACTGGATCCGTCTAAACAGTTCACCAGTTTCCTGACGAAAGGAAAGATGCCATTTTTGTTCATTTGTTCACTTGTTCTTTCATTTCTGGCAAACTCACCATTTCTGGGTTTTCCCCCTCCTTATTGTTAAAAGTAATCTTGTATTGCTGCTTTGAGAGAAGGTAGCGTTCTTAAGGTTGCCTTTTTTTTTCCTGGATCTGATGCCTGTAATTGGGCATGGATTTGAGCAGCGTCTGCCTGGAGGGGCCTGAGGGTGAAACTGGGGGACGTAGGAGCAGAAAGCTGGGCATTGGGCTGCCCACACTCCTTCGGGGATCTAAGTGAGCAAGATTAGGGTGAGCAACCCTTGGGAAGGGGTTGACTTGGAGGTGGAATTTGGAACGTGGGACTGAACCCAAGGCAGGGAAAGGAGTGGCGTTCCCAGCAGCATGACCTGATCCATGCACCCTTTGCTTGGAGACCCTGCCATGGCACCTTCGTTGAGGTGAGGGTGGAAATGGAGGACTTGGCTTCAAGGAAGGCCAGCAGGGAAGCCACCCTCTTTATTCTCTCTTAAAGCTCTTCTCTGCCCATATGCAGAAGTGCACTATCACCAGTATTGTCAGCTGAGCGGCAGCGTCTAATTGGGGGTTGGGGAGAATGAAAAAAGAAATTGAATGTTTCTCTTTTCTTTGTTTTAGATATTTTCCTGTATAGTTCCAGAATGGCTTCAGAGAGCCATGCTGAGATTGCTTCATTACCTCTTTCATACACGGTATTCTCTGTTTTGATTACTTGTTGCGGTCCTGTAGCTTCAGGAAGCTCCTGTGGTTTCCAGATGCTACGCGCGTCCTGGGTTCAGAACCTCTCCTCATAGATAATCTGCCGTCCCTCTCTGGGGTTGGCCATGCATACTTTTAAAGGGAAGTATTTAAAGGGTGGGAAAATATTGATATGCATTTCTGTAAAAAGAAATATATTCTGATACTGAGATCTCAATTCCCAAGATAGATAATCATAATAATAGGTAACATTTGAGTACTGACATGTACTAGGCACTATGCCAGATGTTTCACATAGTTTATTATGTAATTCTGACCTGCACCTCACGCCCAAAGGAAGTAGTTGGCCCATGGTTACCTTTCGTTAGTACTGAATGATTTCTTCATGGAGAAGCCCCGGAACAAGCCATGTGCCTACTTCCTTTCAGAAACCACACCTTCATCGTCCTGCACCTCATCTTGCAAGGAATGGTTTATACTGAATACACCTGGGAAATACTTGGCTACTGTCAAGAGCTGGACTTCTCCTTGTATTACCTCCTTCTGCCCTATCTGCTGCTGGCTGTAAACCTGATTTTTTTCACCCTGAGTTGTGTAACTGATCCTGGTAAGTTGAGGTTCTTGGTATAGACAGCTCAACTGTCAGTCTTACTAACAGTGCTGGAAACAACTAGTAAACCCTGGAAGACCTTGAAAAGATTTGATATTTCGTGTCTTCATGATCTTTCCATTTTGAGTGTTGTCTAATTTTTTCCTTCTTTGACCCATGGGTTATTTAGAACAGTTAAAAATTTTCCATATGAATTCTTTAGTTTAAATTTTTGATACTTTCACTCAGTTGTGTTATATGGAGAGCTTATGGTCTGTAGGATACTATTTCTTTTGAAAATTTTATTGATAATTGTATTATGCCTGGGCATGTGGTTTTTGTAAATGGTCTGTGTGTGATTAAAAAAGAATTTGTTCTTGGAAGCAGAGAACTATATAAGTACACTAGAGGCCCGGTGCATGAAATTTGTGCACTTGGGGAGGGGTGGTCCCCCAGCCTGACCTATATCCTCTCACAGTGTGGAAGCCCCACGATTGATGCCCCAAAAAGATAGGCCCCACCCACCAATCTGGGGCTCCTCGATGGATTGCTGCAAAGAGGTAGGCGGGAGCGGGAGGTCCCGCCTCTGTGCCATGCGTGCAGTGTCAAGACCCCACCCACCCACGCACGCAGCCTGCACACCCGCTGCACATGCAGCCTCCTGGTGATCACTCATTTCGGCGTGAGGGCATCATGACCACATAGGCTTTTATTATATAGGATTATATCAAGTTTGTTAATTATGTTCAAATCTTTTATATTCATAATTGATCAATTACTGAGAGGTATGTTATTCTGATAATAGATTTGACAGATTTCTTCTTGTAAAGTTTTGCTTAATATGTTTTGAAACTGGTGTGTGTGCATGTGTGTATGTCTATTAGTTATACATGTATTCTTATTAGATGCATTCAAGTTTAGAATTAGTATTACCACTTCCTTGAATCACTTTTCAAAATATAATGAGCTTCTTTCATTGGTAATTGTTTTCAAGACTCTTTTGTTTGATATTAATGTTATTACACTATCTGATTTTTTGTTTTTTTTAAATATATTTTATTGATTTTTTACAGAAAGGAAGGGAGAGAGATAGAGAGTTAGAAACATCGATGAGAGAGAAACATCGATCAGCTGCCTCCTGCACATCTACTGGGGATGTGCCCGCAACCCAGGTACATGCCCTTGACCGGAATCGAACCTGGGACCTTTTAGTCCGCAGGCCGACGCTCTATCCACTGAGCCAAACCGGTTTCGGCCTATCTGTTTTTTGATTGATATTTACTCCCTTCCCATTTTTTTACTTTATACCTTTCCTGTCCTTGAAGCATTAAATGTCCATCAGCTGTGAACAGATAAAATGTGGTATGCCTGTTTACTGGGCTGTTCTTCAGCGATAAGAAGGGATGAAGTACTTCACCTGCTGTAGCATTGGGGAACCTTGAAAATACTACGTTAGTGAAAGAAGCCATGTACAAAAGACCACATATTGCATGATGCTATATACAAAGTATCCAGAAAAGGCAAATCCATGGAGACAGATGTAGGGTTAGTGGTTGCCAGAAGTTAGATTAGAGAGAAATGGGGCTAAAGGATTTCTTTTTGGAGGTGATGTAAATGTTCTAAAATTATGGTGGTTGCACAACTCTGAATGTACTAAAAACTATTGAGTTGTACATTTTAAATGGGTGATTTGGGTTTTTTACTATCTCAGTAAAGCTGTTAAAATGATAAAATGAGTCATTTATTAAACACGGCAGTTTTCATTGTGCCGTGTCAGGGCAGGTTTTGTGACTGTTCGGTCCTGTATTGCTTGAAGCTTACATCTGCCCTTACTTTTTCAGGCACCATCACAAAAGCAAACGAATCATTGTTTCTCCAAGTTTATGAATTCGACGAGGTGATGTTCCCGAAGAACGGGCGGTGCTCTACTTGTGACCTAAGGAAGCCCGCACGGTCCAAGCACTGCAGTAAGTGTGGCTCTGGCTGCTCCAGCCCCACCCTCGCACAGCAGGCACGGCTGCGCCTGTCGGAACATTACAGACTCCAGACGTGGGGCCGCCCCTGCTGGTAGGGGCCGCATAGTGGTCTCTTTCAGATGCCTGGGGGGAGGTCTTGTATTCTTCTGTAATGAATGGGCAACCCTCGGCCCTGGGCATGGCAACCTTCCTTTGCCCCGTGGACGCGCATGCTGCCCAAGAGAGGTTTCTGCAGGATACTGTGCTTGCAGATTTCAGTCTTGGCAGAGCCTGTTTCAGGGGCGCTACCAACATTCTCGACTAGAGTTATCCAAAAAATACAATGTGAGCCACATATATGATTTCAAATTTTCTAGCAGCCACCTTACAAAAGTAAAATACGGGTGAAATTTGGCCTGGCCCGTGTTCTTAGTGGTTAGAGCGTTGGCCTGTACACCGAAAGGTCATGGGTTCAATTCCCAGTCAAGGGCACGTACCTGGGTTGCACATCGTTTCTCTCTCTCTCTCTTTCTCTCCTTTTCTCCCTCTCCTTCTCTCCTCTCCTCTTCTCTCCCTCTCCCCTTCCCCCCCTCTTCCCCTCCCATCCTCCCTTACACACTCTCTGAAAAGCAATGGAAAAAATATCCTCAGGTGAGGATAACCAAAAAGGTGAAATTAATTTTAATCATATAATTTACTCAACCTAACATACCTACAATACTATTTTAGCAGTAGTCGATACAAAAAAATCATTCATGCCCAGCTCAGTGGTTGAGTGTCAGCCTAGAAACCAGGAGGTCACGGACGGTTCAGTTCCCTATCAGGGCACAGGCCTGAGTTGTGGGCTGGATCCCCAGTGGGAGGCCTGCAGGAGGCAGCCGATCAATGATTCTCTCTCATCATTCATGTTTCTGTTTCTTTCACCCTCTCCCTTCCTCTCTGAAATCAGTTAAAAAATATGTATTTTTAAAAAATCATTCATGGGATAGTTTATGTTCTTTTTTACGCTAAGTCTTTGAATCTGATGTATATTTAATGTTTACAGCACCTCTCATCCAGACCCTAAATTTCATTGGAAATACTGGATCTGTATTTAGATTTCATACAATTTACAGTTGGAATAGATTCACTTACCCAAGCTATTCCAAACATTTTTATAAGTTTTTCAGTCACTGAATTTTATAAGTTTTTTAGTTCCAAAAAGTCATTTCCTTTAATATCCATGTCTACATTAATATCCTGGTTCATCTTTGTCAGAAGAATTGATTTGACTTTAAAGCAAAGGCATTAGTTTTGAAACTAAGTAAATTCACTACCTCTTGCGTCATCTCAGTAGTATTCACATTGAACTCAAAAGGAATAGTTTACGAATTGGAAAACATCTGTACATTCATTGATGTCAACCAAGTATTTTTTCAAGTGTTCCTCGTAGCCACATACCTAGTTCTCAGTACCCACCTGTGCCTAGGTTAGTGGCTGCTGTACTGGACACTGCAGTCCTGAGAGCTTGGTGACAGCAGCCGCCACTCGCCCAGCTCAGACCGCCAGTTTGCAGAAATGTCAGTGGGTGTGCACGGTGTCATTGTCTCATCAAGAACCGCCGGTGTCTGTGCAGGTGTGTGTAACCGCTGTGTGCACCGTTTCGACCATCACTGTGTGTGGGTGAACAACTGCATCGGGGCCTGGAACGCCAGGTACTTCCTTACCTACCTCCTGACACTGACGGCGTCGGCTGCCACCATGGCCGTCGTGACCACCGTGTTTCTGGTCCGGCTGGTGGTATTGTCGGACTTGCACCTGGAGACTTATGTTGATGACCTTGGACAGTCCCAGGTTATTGACACCGTCTTTCTTATTCAGGTAATTAGTTATTTAGGTAATTTTGTTGTGGGCTGTATATTTCTGACTTCCAGTTTCAAATTAGAAAAAGGACATTTGTTTTTCCAGTAAAAACATGAAGCCATTCCTTTTTTAAAAATTGCTATATAATCTTTTTAAATTGGTAAATAATTCACATACCACAAAATTTACCCTTTCAAAATATACAATTCAGCCGAAACCGGTTTGGCTCAGTGGATAGAGCGTCGGCCTGCAGACTGAAAGGTCCCAGGTTCGATTCCGGTCAAGGGCATGTACCTGGGTTGCGGGCACATCCCCAGTGGGAGATGTGCAGGAGGCAGCTGATCGATGTTTCTCTCTCATCGATGTTTCTAACTTTCTATCTCTCTCCCTTCCTCTCTGTGAAAAATCAATAAAAAAAAAAAAAAAAAAAAATGCCTAGGTGCCTCCCAGGCGGCCCTCTACATAAACAACAGATATTTGTGGAATCAAGGAATAAACATGTTACATTTAAAAATATATATATATATATATATATATATATATATATATATATATATATGTACAATTCAGTGGTGTTAGTATGTGCAGGGTTGTGTAACCATCACTACTGATTTCGGAATATTGCATCACGCCAAAAAGTATTTCCTCACCCTGTGTCTATCTGCAGTCACTCCCATTCCATTCTCCCCCCAGCCAGGGTCCCCTCTAATCGACTTTCTGTCCCTATAGATGTACCTGTTCTGGCCATTTCATATCAGTGGAGTTACACAACATGTGGCCTTAAGGATTGGCTTCTTTCACAGAGCATAACTTTTTCAAGGCTCATCCATGTTATAGCCTGAATCAGCACTTCATTTCTTGTGGCTGAAACATGTTCCATTGTGTGGAATGGCCGCATTTTGTTCCATTCATCAGTTGATGGACACTTGGGCGTTGTCACTTGTCGGTTGTTTTTGAATAATGCTGCTGTGAACGTCTGTGCACCAGTGTTTGGGTGGACACAGGTTTTCTTTCTCTTGAGCTGGACAGCTGAGAGTGGGGTGCTGGGTCAGATGGAAACTTCGTAACGGCCAGGCTGGCTCCCGAGGCGGCTGCATTTTACGCTCCCACCAGCAGCATGCAGGGCTCCAGCTGCTCCGCGGCCCGCCAATGCTTGTTGTTTTTATGATAGCCATCCCAGCGCTTTTCCCTCCTTGGACCAGAATCCACAGGTTTTTTTTTATGAGATATATGGAGGAAAGCTGCTACTTTCCAGCCTCTCTCCATCTTTTTTTTTTTTTAATCCTCACAGGATATTTTTCCATTGATTTTTAGACAGAGTGGAAGAGAGAAGGAAAGACAGAGAGAAATATCGATGTGAGAGAAACACACATCGATTGGTTGCCTCCTGCAAGAGCCCCAACCAGGGCTTGGGCTTAGGGAGGAGCCTGCAACCGAGGTACGTGCCCGTGACCAAAATCGAACACGGGACCCTTCAGACCGTTTGCAGGCCGATGCTCTATCCACTGAGCCAAACCAGCTAGGGCTTTCTTTTTCTTTTTTCTTAAATTATATTTTTATTGATTTCAGAGAGAAAGAGAGAGAGAGAGAAACATCAATGATGAGAGAGAATCATTGATCAGCTGCCTCCTGCACGCCCCACACTGGGGATGGAGCCTGCAACCCGGGCCTGTGCCCTGAGTAGGAATGGAACCATGACCTCCTGGTTCATAGGTTGATGCTCAACCACTGAGCCCCACTGCCCGGGCCAGAATCCACTTTATAGTCACGCATCACATTTGAGTGTCTTTTCAGTCTGAAGCAGCGCCCCGCTTTTTTGTGTGAAATGGGCATTTAGTAGCCTGGTTGCCTATTAGAATGTTCCACGTTCTAGATTTGTCTGTTTTGGAATTGTGTCATCTAATCTTTCTCTTTTTCCTAATGGTAGTATAAACTGGAAGTTAGTTCTAGAGCCTTGATTAGGTAAGGTTAAATTTTCCTTTGCAAAAGTGCTTCCTAAGTGGAGACATGAGTTTCCTCTCGATCCCACCAGGCGGAACCTAGGGCCAGGGAAGCCTGGGTTGGCCAGTCAGGGGTGGCCACCGGCTGTCCCTGCATTTGCCCCTCGGCAATGGCAGTCTGTGTGTCTGGTTTCAGTTTTGTATTGAGGACTTTCTTTAGGCTAGAATCAAAAAATATGAATGCTGGGCCAAAGATTACCAGCACTTATACTGTAAGATTTCTAATACTAACATCTGTTGTCAGATTGCTTTTAAAAGCTTGATTGTAGAGCACTGTGTAAGTGATGGTTTCACAGCTCAGAGCAGGCATTGCGCTGCTGGCTGGGAGGCGCCTCTGGTTTGATAGGAAAATAAGGTGTGCCTTTAAAAAAGTTGTGTTTCTTTCATTACTTTTGATTAGTTCCTTTGTCATTCTCTTGTATATCTTCTTTTGTGAATGATGTTCTTTAACTGTCCTGTTTAATATTAGGACCAACTTTTGATATGAGGTCTTTACATAATAACAATAGTTTCTTCTTATTGTGTTTATTTTCTATTTGTGTGTTTTTTTATATAAAAAGCTTAAATATTCTTCATCTTCAAATTTGTTTTTTTCTTTGTAACTTCAGTTAGAAATTCTCTCCTATCAAGTTTTGATAATTGTTTGCTTCTCTTTTTCCCTAACTTTCAAAAATATTGAACTCTCAAATTTCTTTATTATAAAAAATAACATAAAAATTCAAGCAGTCAGAGGTGTTTAAAATAAAGGGGAGGGGGTGGGAATGAGTCAAGGCGGTCATAGGGTACAAACTTCAGCCCACAGGTGAACAAGTCCTGGGGGTGTATGTACAGCATGGCGACTCGGTAACAGGAGCGTATTGCATATTTGAAAGGTGCTAAGAGACTGGCTCTTAAGAGTTCTCACCACAAAGAACAATGGTAACTGTGAGGTGCTGGAGATGTTAACTAACCTTATTGTGGCAATCATTTCAGTATATATACATACATAAAATCGTTACATTTTGCATTGCTGTTGTGCACCTTAAACTTTCACAATGTTACACATCAATTATATCTTAAAGCTGGGTGGGGAAGGAAAGAAAATTTAAAACATCTTGAAAAAAAATGAAATGAAAACATACCCCTCCCCTCCCAACACTTTCACTCCCCAGAGGCAACTTCTTTTGTAGTTTGGTGCGTATATTTCAGGCTTTTTCCCTACGTTTGTTTATATTGCCATACATGTCCATAGAGTCTTTGGTGTGTTTGCACAAATGGGGACCCATTGTGATCCTTGCATCTTGTCTTTCTCCCCGGGCAATGTATTACCAACATCTTTTCCAATTTTGTTGGCTCCTTGTGATGCCATGGTTTGACTGTCCCAGAGTTTTACTCTTCCTCGGGGATGCACCTTTCATTTGTGTGCTTTGGGAAGAGGGACTGTTAAATTCAGTGCCACTGCAGTGAGCACCCTTGCACTGTATCTCTGGCTGTTTCGTTTTGAGAGAGAGATTGATCTCTTCTGTCCATCTGGATTTTATTTTGATGCATGAACTAAGAGATACATGTATTTCTTTGTTTTTTTTTGTAAGTACGTAAGTGGCATAGCACCATCTCCCGAGTATCTGTTCCCTTTTCCTCCAGTGTACACACTTCGCTTATCCCAAGCTAAACTCTTGTATAGACTAGGGTGCATTCCTGAGCTGTTGGTCAGTGCTGTGTATGGTTCTGATTTGTGTTCAGTGGGTAGATGTGCAGGGAGGTGGGTGAGCTGGGGTGGCAGCTCCGACAGTCTCATGGACAAGACCAGGGCTGGCGGGTGCTGACCCTCACTGTGTCAGCCCCGTGGCCTAATGTGCTGCTTCTTCTTTGCCCCCAGTACCTGTTCCTGACCTTCCCAAGGATTGTCTTCTTGCTGGGCTTTGTCTTGGTGCTGAGCTTCCTCCTGGGCGGCTTCCTGTGCTTTGCTCTGTACCTGGCCGCCACCAACCAGACTACGAACGAATGGTGCAGAGGTGACCGGGCCTGGTGCCAGCATTGCCCCCAAGGCGCCGGGGCCCCCTCCGTAGAGCCCCGTGTCCACCGGAACATTCACTCCCACGGGCTTTGGAGCAACCTCCGAGAGATCTTTCTACCTGCTGCTGCACATTATGAGAGAAAGAAGAAATGAGAGTGGAAGGGTGTTACTGCCTTTTAAATACAGTTCATTTTAAATATAGCTCATTTATTTATGCATATGGATACTTTCTAAGCATGTTATTTTTCCTTTCTGTTCTGTATAAATCGCCTTTCAGTGGTTAAGGAAGGGAAGAGAGAAGCAGGGCTTACTGAGTGCCTAATGGAAATCCTCCTTGGTCATCCTCTGCCCACTCAGCTGCCGGAACGGAGCTTCTCTGGATTCCTGGTGACCTTGGTCTCTCACCAGACTCGGCTCCTGGACAGGAGGGGCCCCGCGGCTGTGTCCCCTGGTGTGCAGGAGGGTCTCCGCAACTTGGATGTCCTCATCTCTCCCAGGGAAAGACGACTTTTTTTCTCCATTTCCTTAACCATACCAGCACCCTCACCCAGGCCTGTTGAGCTTGTGGCCTCCTGCCGGCCCTCCGCTGACCTCTTGTGGCCATATCCAGTATTTTCTGTCCTTTAAAAAAAATTTTATGGATTGGTTTTAGGAAGGGGGAGAGAGATGGACGGACAGACAGAAACATCAAGTTGTGGTCCCGCCTATTTAAGCATTCATTGGTTGCTGCTTGTATGTGCCCTGACCCGGAATCAAACCTGAAACTTTGGATTATTGGGATGAGGTTCTAACTGACCAGTGCCAGCTCTATTTTTAAATTCCTAACTAAGCACAAGTAATTCAGTGCAGAGGTGAGTGCTGGAAAAGACTCATCGAAAGTGCTGAGGGCTGTTGGGACGGGAGCGCCGTTGGGAGCAGGGTACCGAAGATCCCCTCCCCAGCCACTGAAGGGGTTGGGGAGTAGGAACTCGGGCAGAAACTGGTTGGGAGGCATCGTTTGACCGCGTAGCCCCTGGAGTTCAGAGCAGATACAATCTTTAAAGTGAATTCCTGAGGCTGAGCCCGTGCCCTGCGCTACCCACTATGCTTGTTGGTGGGAAAGGACGGTGAAATCACACGTGGAGGTTTGAACCCGGGCTGAGGGGGCGAAGGGAGCAGCCGTCTGCCGTCTTGCGAGAGGCGGGGCGGGGGGGCGCAGGACCCCATGAGCACCGGTGGCCGAGATACCGCCGGGCCGCTGCGGGCGTCAACCTGCGCGCCCCAGGCCCGGAGGCGGTCTCGCGGCGCAGGGGCGGGGCGGGGCCGGCGGGCGGGGCGGGGCGGGGCTGGTGGGCGGGGCCTGCGCACCTCCGGCCGCGGCGGCGCCCTTCCGCACCGCAGACATCGCCGCCAGGTGGCGCCCTCCCGAGGCTGTTGACCCCTGCGGGCCGCCGTCGCCGCGCTCGGCATTCCCCCACCGTTCGCCTCCGCGGCGTCGGGCTCCCGAGCTCTCGGCGGCGGCGCGGCGGTCGCACCCCTAGGTTCCCCGCTGGCGACCGGAGGAGATGGCCCCCTGAGCGGGCCCGAGCCGGGAGCGGCGGGCGGGCGGGCGCCGCGGCCCAGGCCCGGCTCGGCGGGCGGGGTGCGGGTCGCGGCCTCTTTGTCTCCAGGGCGGCGGGCGCGTCCGCGGGGCTCGGGGCGGAAGTCCCGCCGCGCTCGCGGCGCCCCGGACGGCGGCGGCCGCGCCATGAGCGACATCCGCCACTCGCTGCTGCGCCGGGACGCGCTGAGCGCCGCCAAGGAGGTGCTGTACCACCTGGACATCTACTTCAGCAGCCAGCTGCAGAGCGCGCCGCTGCCGCTCGTGGACAAGGGCCCCGTGGAGCTGCTCGAGGAGTTCGTGTACCAGGTGCCCAAGGAGCGCGGCGCGCAGCCCAAGGTGCGGCGGCTGGGCGGCCGGAGGGCACTGCGCCCTCTCCCCGTCGCGGCGGCGATGTTAGCCGGGCTCGCTCGCGCCGGTGGCCTGGCTCCTCCGCAGCCCTAACGACCTCCCCGGGTCCTGGGCATGGCTCCGCCGTGTGCCTGCTTGGCGCGGCGGTGACAGCCGTGCCGCCCTGGCGTTACGGAGACACCTTGAGGGCCCCGGGAGGGTGCGCAGTGCTGTGCAGTGGCCTTTCCTGGGAGTAACGGCAGAGGTGCCCTCCCTGGCACCGGGCTGCGGGGGGGGGGGGGGGGGCCGGGGAAGGGAGCGGCTGTGTTCTTACTGTCTGAATGAATGTGCATGCTGAAGCCAAGTGTCTCATCGCTTCTCCCGGGTTTGTTTTTATAGAGATTGAATTCACTTCAGGAGCTTCAACTTCTTGAAATCATGTGCAATTATTTCCAGGACCAATCCAAGGACTCTGTCCGGCAGATTATTTTCTCGTCCCTTTTCAGCCCCCAAGGGAACAAAGCGGATGACAGCCGGATGAGCTTGTTGGGGAAACTGGTCTCCATGGCAGTGGCTGTGTGTCGAATCCCAGTGTTGGAGTGCGCGGCCTCCTGGCTCCAGGTACTTCTCTGGGAATAGCCTCCTCCCCAGGCCCGGGGAGAAATGTTCAATTAATTGGGTTTCTTGAGAGGCCTTTGCCGCCTGCTGTCTGTCTGCTTGATGTCAGTACCCCGTATGCTCATGCCCCGGGCCTATCTTTACATACAAGTGGTAACCATTCTTGAGAAAACAGTAGCTTGTGATGGAACATTAATTTCAAAAAGAAAGGCTCTGTCTTTGGAACAAGTGAAAAATCCCTTTTCTTAGTTGAAAGTGATAGGTGGGGTTGTGAACACTGCTCCGCATGCAGCCTCAGAGATAGGATTTGGTTCTTTGAGATCATTACGCGTCATTGTGGCACCTTTGCTTGTCTTCTATACAGTTAGGTCCGCCGGCATGGGTGTTGTCTGCATTGTCCTAGGATGGCATCACAGAGTGGATGGCTGTTCTAACGGAGAGGGACATAAGAGCTTTCCAGAGTGTTTTTATTTATTTACTTTTTAGAGAGAGAGCAAGGGAGAGGGATAGAGAGATAGAAACATCGACGAGAGAGAAACATCATCGGTTGGCTGCCTCCTGCACTGCCGCCACTGAGGATTGGGCCCGCAACCGAGGTACATGCCCTTGACCAGAATCAAACCTGGGACCCTTCTGCTGATGCTCTATCCACTGAGCAAAACCGGCTAGGGCTCTAGAGTGTTTTAAATATCAAAGGAAAAGTGTCTCTTTACAGTTGATGTTTTGTTAGATGGTATTTCGGAAGATACGTTTTGTTTTCCTTTTTTGTTACTTAGGGTCTTTGAGAATTTGATAATCTACTTAGAGTAATTATTAACAGATTTTTAAAAAATGTATTTTTATTGATTTCAGAGAGGAAGGGAGAGGGAGAGAGAGAGATAGAAACATCAATGATGAGAGAGAATCATTGATTGGCTGCCCCCTGCACACCCCTCACTGGGGATCAAGCCTGCAACCTGGGCATGTGTCCTTGACTGGAATCAAACCCAGAACCCTTCAGTCCGCAGGCCACTGCTCTGTCCACTGAGCCAAACCAGCTAGGGCTTAAGTGAGATTTATTAATATTCTCAGCGATGCTAACAGAATTTATTGCATTCAGTTTCACAAACCTGTTCATTCCCAAGTTCTTGAAATGATTTTTAACAATTGTATTTAAATATTTTCCTTGTAACCTTTTTTTAAAAATCCTCACCCAAGGATATGTTTTTATTGATTTTTTGGAGAGAGAGAGAGAGAGAGCAACATCTATGTGAGGGAGAGACATCAATTGGCTGCCTCCTATATCCACCCCAACTGGGGATTGAACCTGCAACCTAGGTGTGTGCCCTGACCCAAATCAAACTCGGCAACCTTTTGGTGTATGGGGTGACGCTCCAACCAACTGAGCCACCGGGCCAGGGCATCTTGTAATCTTTCTTATCATTAAAATTTGTCTAGCGAGCCCTGGCTGGGTAGCTCAGTTGGTTGGAGCATCGTCCTCATACGCCAGGGTTGTGGGTTCGATCCCCGGTCAGGACACATACAAGAATCAACCAAGTGGAACACTAAATTGATACTTTTTTCTAAAATTAATTTTTAAGAATTTTGGCTAGCAAAAAGATACATTTTTGTTTTTTGGGGTTTTTTTTGTAGTACACAGGCAAATCTCAGTGGAGTCTGTGCCTTAAATCTCATCAGTATGATTTCTGGGGCATCTGAATTGATCATGTGCGCTGTCTTTAACCTTAAGATTACCTCTAGCCCTTAGCCTAGTGAAGTCAAGCTTAGCCTTTTGTGACCATCACAGGATTTTCTCTCTCTCTCTCACGGCGCAGTCGTGCTGGCATTCTGGCAGCAGGAGAGCAGATCTGAACAGCAGGACGGGGTCTCCGTGGTCTGGGTCGGGGTTTGCCGCACTGGGAGGGGCTGCAGCCTCCTCCTGAGGAAAGGCAGAGGTGGGTGGTGCGGTGTCGTGGGCAGAGTTTAGCCTGAATGGACCGTCTGGCCCGCTGTCTCCATGCAGTTTGCCCTGGAGGCCACGATGGGGCCTGGGACTGTGGCGTCCCCGGCAGCCGGTGAACGTGGCAGTACTCACAGATCGGCGTCTGAGTGCGAGGGAGAGGGCCGGGGCGGGTGGGGGTGTAGGGCTGGGGAGTGTCAGGGAAGCCGTGGGAGGACAGAGCTGTGAGAATGGAGCGGCCGCTCTCACCCCTGAGGTAGTTCCCAGACTCTCCGGGCCCTTTAGGCGGTAGCAGCCGTTCATTTTCACCATTGGAGTCTCAGCTGCAGGTTCACAGAAGGTGTCAGAAATGATGTTTCCCTAAGGAAACTTCGAAGCAAGGGCCGGCAGGCCTTTGACGGAGAGGGCAAGAAAATATATATCTTAGGCTTTGCGGATCTTGCCGTGTCTGTCACAGCAGCCTAGACAGTAGGCGAGCCTGTCGCAGGGCTGTGTCAGGACCACCGCGTTCACAGCAGCCGAGGGGGTGCAGTTGGGCTGCGGGCTTGAGTTTGCCAACCCCTGCGGCAGAGCAAGCCCTCCCGGTCCTTGCCCGCTGGAGGGTTCTGCCAGGGCTGGGGGCCGGTTTCACCAGATGTGCGCAGCTGCTGGTCGCCAGCCCGCGACCCCCGTGGTCACGCACTGTGGCTTCTTTGCAGCGGACGCCCGTGGTCTACTGCGTGCGGCTGGCCAGGGCCCTGGTGGATGACTACTGCTGC